AAGTATTATCCTCGGTCTGAACTGGTCAATAGTCATCAGTATAACTCGTTTTATTTTCTTGTTGCGATCTGTCGATATTTTCTAAAGAAATATTTGAAGAACTAATACAGCGCTTTATTCTTATGCATTGTTTCTGCAATAACGTAGTGAATTTGGGTCACTCTTATCATCTTTCAAATAGCTCGTAACCCTCACATTTATTCGTATAATCACTATTTTTAGTAAATTATAATGAGCGTTTTATGTAAATTGGCCATTATATTTTTTGAAAGTTGGCTTTAAGAGTTTTTTAATTGGCTGAACCGGAATACGAGGGAGATTGTCTCGTGGTTATTATTTTTGATTTAACGCATAGATTTCAATGCTTCTGATGCATTTATTAGTACCCAGAGAGTTCCGTTCCGTCATCATTAAAATTCGTTAATGCGAAAACGAGATAAATGATCTCTGGCCCAAAAAGGTCCTTTAGATGAGAGATTTATTTGTTCATATAGAAGAACATCGAATGGTCTAGATAGACTCGGGTTGAATAGGTCGTATATATGAAGACCAAGATGGCATGACCTTCTGTTTGGTCGCAGTCTCCTTTAACTTAATAGGGTTTGATCGACCTCGTTTTCGCAACCTAGTCGGAATGTCAGGGAGACCTTGTGGAACGTATCTAGTCCTATGTCGTCTGACATAATGTTTGTGATGTCCATCAACTGACTATTGACTTGGTACATTCCCAAACTTTTCTCCGACATCGTCAGTGAGAGGTGCCATCATTAGCACTAAGTGGCAAGTGAAGGCATTCCTTTTGACCAATTTTGTATTCACCTGTTGAATAGCTTTGTAAATTTGATACCGAAATAATAGTGAATTCTGATATTAACGTGGCCTTTATCGGCTCACATTGCCGCGAATCGACCTCATTGAATTCAGAAGAGGAATTGCGTTGGAATTTTGCTTGCGGATTTGTACGAAGTCCTTGGTTGGTCCTGCGACCCCTATCAATCCATGCTGAGCTTTCGTCTGTTCCGCCATGACAGATCTGAGAGCAGGAAATTAGTTTAAGAAAATTCACCAAATAAACCATTCCTAGCCCATTGTTTGGTGAATTTCGCTCAAGAATAATTGCGCACTGACGATGTGTAACATGACAGACAATGGTTCATTACGAATTAATCGGATTTGCAGTACACATAAAACAGCATTCCCAATTCCAATGCTATCCACCCACCAAGCTACTTCATGGCCAACTTCTATCAAAGTATTAATTCGAGATTAAATATCAAATTACATGAAATTATTGAAGTGTTTCTTGTGACTTAGCTTTTCTTTATACATCGGAGAAGCAAGTTGCTATCATGTAACAATAATTGCTTAAAATGCATTATCAGGTAGGGTGAACCAAGTGAATTACTTCTGATTACCTAACAGGGTAAAATGGATCATTTTATTTAGCGACGCAATTGGTAAAATGGTATCAGATTAAGTTCTCATAATAGTGCATTTATGACTTGATAAGGCTTACGAAGCCAGACTTTGAAACGTTCCATGGGCGATCTGTTAAGGGAAATCGCTGCTGTAAAAGAGCAAAAAATGTGACATTGAGGTTGTATGGGGGGAAGCGATGCTCTAAAGTCTCATCGACTCGTTGACTGCTCTCCGGTGAAAAATTATTAATCTGGGGTTTTTTCCTGCTAACTGCTTTATAGAATGCCAAATTTAGCTCCATAAGAATGTCAGAAAGTTAACTTGGCTTTGAATTAGGGAGCGAAGTCTAGTCGATCCAATTTTTGGCTCAGGTATTGCCAGCGACAATTCCGTTGGTAGAAGGTTGGAGTACATGAGCCTGGGTTAGAATCATGGATTGTTTGTGGGCGATAAGAAAATTGATGTTAGAGCCTTCTGTATGAGCTAGTATCCTCTGCTAAAATTGGCCGTGCCGATTAAGCATGTTTAGAGGGTTGGTAGCATTCAAACATGATATCTTAGGCGTCGCGTATAGAGACTTAGCTGAGGTGAACAAATCCTGTTTGACTAAGTCACTATACTGCATTGAAACAAAACTACATTAGGCTAAAGCATCTATACGATAATATGCTAGATGAATATTTAGACAAGAAAACCTACTTGTAAACGAAAAAAGAGGTTT